CGCTGTCACCGAGAAGTCCTCGCGCACCTTCCTGAGCGGCTTGAGCGACTGCACCAACCTCACCTTCAGCAAAGTGCAGCGGTTCTGGGAGTCCAGCTCCGCCGCGCACAGAGAGGTGGGCGGGGCGCTCCGCTTGGGAGCGGGGGAGACTCTGGCCTTTGCCTCGGGGGAGCGGGGTGCTCTGGGGCCTTCCTGAGCACGTTGCCCCTGCCCTGGCCCAGATGCCGTGGAGAGGGTGGGATGGCGTGTTCTGGGGCCAGGTTCTTGCCCCTGCCCTGGCCCAGATGCCGCAGAGGGGGTCGGATGGCGTGTTCTGGGGCCAGGCTGTTGCCCCTGCCCTGGCCCAGATGCCGTGGAGGGGGTGGGATGGCGTGTTCTGGGGCCAGGTTCTTGCCCCTGCCCTGGCCCGGATGCCGCAGAGGGGGTCGGATGGCGTGTTCTGGGGCCAGGCTGTTGCCCCTGCCCTGGCCCGGACGCCACGGAGAGGGAGGGGCAGCGTGTTCTGGGGCCAGGCCCACGTCCTGTGGTGCTCACCCGTCCCCTCCTGTGCGCTCTCTGCAGATCTGCGCGGTGCTGGCTGCGGTGACGGAGGTGATCCGCTCGCAGGGCGGCACGGAGAGCGAGACCGAGTACTTCGCTGCGCTGGTGAGTGGCCGTGTGCGTGGGGGCAGGTCTCAGCTAGAGGTGGGGAGCAGCCTGTGGCTGGCCCCGAGTGTGCCCTGTGCTGGGGGGCTCTGGAAGGGACCGTGACCTTCCCTCTGCACTGGGCTGTCGCGGGGTAGCTGGACGTGCTGCGTACAGCCGGGGGCTGCGGGGGTGTTAGTGAAGGGCCCTGGGGACTGTGGCAGCAGAGCTCTGGCTAGGAGTGCCAGGAGCTGACCCCTGCCCAGCACCCCTGGCTCCCGGGGCAGGGGGGTGGGTCCTTCAGCGAGCCGGAGGTGAAGCCGTCAGGCAGCGTGAGTTCCAGGGACATGCTGGACTCTGCCATGCTGTGCCTGGTGGGGCTCCGGCCGGGGGTCTCGGCCAGGCGGCTGCAGTCCATGGGGGCTGGGGATCCGTGAGTGGGCTTGGTGCACCCCGGAGGCTGGGCTGGCTGCTCTGCTATCCCTGCCATGGAGCGCCAGCTGGGTCGTGGATGCTCCGTCACCCGGCCCGGGGAGCTCCCGGCTGAGCCTGGCAGCGGGGCCCCCCGTGCTCACCCCGGCTGTGTTGCCAGATGACGACGCTGGAGGCCGTGGAGTCGCCGGAGTCGCTGGCTGCTGTCGCCTACCTGCTCAACCTGGTGCTGAAGCGGTGAGTCGCCTCCGCCCATGGGTTACTCTCGCAGCCCCGGGGGGGCTGGCCGGGGCCCAGGCAGAGCGAGGCAGGGGCCGGGGATGGGAACAAGGTGTAGGGGACAATGCAGGGTGCTGCTTGCAGGCCGGCAAGGCTGGGGGAAGGTGTGGCGGGGGGGGGGGGCGGGGCGGGGGGGGCAGGGCTGCAGGAAGCATTGTAACAGGTACGGCTTTGAGCCATGGGGCCGTGTGGCTGCTGATGTGCTGGTGTCTCCGAGTCGAGCTGGGGCAGGGTCACCCCCTCAGGGGACCCCTCGGCCCATGTCGGAGGGTCCCACTCACAGGGGGGGTCTCACCTTCCAGCGCCGGGGTGGGGAAGGGCTGGGAATCACGGCTGTGTCGGGGGGGGGGGGGGGGACAGTGCAGCGCATCTCCCATTATCCCCCGTCCCCGTTGCCGGGCCCCCAGCCGCACTGACACCCTCCCTTCTCTGCCCGCAGGGTGCCAGGGCCCGTGCTGATAAAGAAGTTCTCGGACACCTCCAAAGTGTTGATGGGCATCATGGCCTCGCAGGCCGGCAGCGGCCCCTCCTCTGCCCTGCGGTGGGTGAGTGCCACCAGCAGGAGGCGGGCAGGGGGTCACTGGGGTGCGGCTGGCTCAGACTCCCTGCCCTCAGCGAGGGTGTGAGCAGTACGGGGCCCATCCCCTTGTGCTGAGCCTGGCGGGGAGGGGAGGGGTGTGTGTCTCCCCCCAGCATCCTGGGTTCCTGCCGTCCCTGGATGGGTCAGGCTGGCGGGGGTGCTTGGTGTGGAGGGAGGGCAGTCTGACTTTCGGGGCTGGGGGGGGGGTCTGGCGTGCGGGGGAAGGGCAGCCTGACCTACGGGGGGAGGGGGCTGGCAGTTGCCCCGGCTCGGGAGGGCAGCACCGATACCCGTGTGTCCCTGTTGGTCTCTCCCTGCAGGTGCTCTCCTGCCTGGCCACGCTGCTGCGGAAGCAGGACCTGGCAGCCTGGAGCTACCCCGTCACGCTGCAGGTTTACCATGGCTTGCTCAGCTTCACAGTCCACGCCAAGCCCAAGGTGAGCCCAGCGGGACCCTGTGGGGTGCCCCCTCCTGCCCCCCAGCTGGGGCCCTCTGTAGCTCTGCCCCAGTCTGTAGGGTCTTGCTGGTGCCTCAGCCCTGGGTCTGGAGCTGCCTGGTCTGTGCAGTGCCCTGGGCGTGGGGGTCCCAGCCCAGCCTCCCCGATCCTTGGCAGGAGGCTGCCCGGGGCGCCCCCACTCACCCCGCTCCCATGCTCGGCAGGTGCGGAAGGAAGCCCAGCACGGCGTCTGCTCCATTCTGAAGGGCAGCGAGTTCCTGTTCGGGGACACGGCTCCCACGCACCACCCGGCTGCGCAGTCCACAGCCCGGTTCTGTGTGCAGGAGATCGAGAAGTCCGGAGGTACGGGCGGGATGGGACGGATGGACGTGGGGTGCACAGCTGTGGGGGGTGCATGGGGGCCTGGCTGGGATGTGGGGCGCACTGCTGTGGGGGGTGTATGGGGACCGGAGGGGTCGTGGGGTGCACTGCTGTGGGGGGTGCATGGGGACTGGAGGGGGCGCGGGGTGCACAGCTGTGTGTGGTGCAGGGGGACCGGAGGGGGCTCGGGGTGCACAGCTGTGCGGGGTGCAGGGGGATGGGAGGGGCTGTGGGGAGTGCATGGGGACCGGAGGGGGTGCGGGCTGCACAGCTGTGGGGGGTGCATGGGGGCCTAGCTGGGATGTGGGGCGCACTGCTGTGGGGGATGCAGGGGGATCAGAGGGGACGTGGGGTGCACAGCTGTGGGGGGTGCATGGGGACCGGAGGGGGCACGGGGTGCACAGCTGTGGGGGGTGCATGGGGACTGGAGGGGTTGTGGGGTGTACAGCTGTGGGGGGTGCATGGGGGCCTAGCTGGGATGTGGGGCACACTGCTGTTGGGGGTGCAGGAGGACCGGAGGGGCTGTGGGAGGTGCAGGGGGACCAGAGGAGTCGTGGGGCCACTGGGCGGCTGCTGGGGTCTGTGCTGGGCTCTTTGGCCCCCGCGCTGCTGCTGCCCGTGGGCTGCGCTTGGTGGGTTCGGTGCTGCGCTCTCGGGGCCCGGCAGCCCCTGGCAGAGGGGTTCAGTCATGGGGGCTGAGCAGGGGGGGCTGTTCTGTGTGTTCATCTCTGCCCCACTCCACAGGTACCAAGGAGGCCACCACCACCCTGCATGTCCTGACCCTGCTCCGGGACCTGCTGCCCTGCCTGCCCCTGGCCGTGGTGAAGACCTGCTGCGAGACCCTGCTCCGCGTCATGACCCTCAGCCATGTGGTGAGCAGCCGGCTGGGCTTCCGGGAGGGAGGGGACCCGTCACTGTCCTTGGGCCCCAGCCCTCCCGCTCCCTGCCAGCCCGGGCCAGCTCCGCAGGGTCAGGCAAGGGGGCCCTGCAGGGTACGGGGAGCGTGCGGGGGACGCCTGGACTCCATTTGGGACAACCCCGCCCCTTCCTGCTGGGGGGGATCTGCCCAGGCTTGTGGATGGAGGGGCCCAGTGGGGCGGCGTGTTCCCCCCTCGCTTCTAACACTGTGTCCTTTGCAGCTGGTGACGGCATGTGCCATGCAGGCCTTCCACAGCCTCTTCAGTGCCAAGCCTGGCCTGGCGTGCCTATCTGCCGAGCTCAACGCCCAGATCATCACCGTGAGTGCAGGGGGCGGGCGGGCTCATGGGGTGGGGGCAGGGCAGGCTGATGGGAGGGGTCATGGGGTGGGGAGAGGGCAGGCTGATGGGAGGGGGGGCACGGGGTTGAGGGGTGGGGGCAAGGTCACGAGGTGGGGGCAGGGTGGGCTGAGGGGAGGGGTGGGGGATGGGGGCAGGTGGGCATCTTTCACTGAGCCCGCCCTGCCCTGCCAGGCCCTGTACGACTACATGCCCAGCGAGAACGACCTGCAGCCCCTGCTGGCCTGGCTGGCCGTCATGGAGAAGGCACACAGCAACCTGGCCAGGTAACGGGCTGGGCCGGGCCTGGGGTGGCGGGGACCCCCATGGGGGAGGGTGCGGGGGGCCCGGGGGACGAGGGGGTGGCGGGGGCCCCCATGGGGGGGGGGGGGTGCAGCGGCGGGGACCCCTGTTGGGGGAAGAGGGGTGGGGGCTCTCCCTGGTGCTGGACCCTCTCTCTCTTGCAGGCTGCAGAGGGACCTGTGCTGGGGGCACCTCCCCCGCCTCTTCACGGCTGCCGTGAGCTGCCTCCTCTCCCCCCACCCACAGGTGCTGGCGGCCGCGACGCAGACGCTCAAGGTACCATGAGCAGCTCCCCCCCCCCCCCCCCGGCCTGTCCTGGGGGTGGCTATTCCCGCCCCCCGCCATGGGGCACCCGGCTTTGCTCGGGCAGGCTGCAGTGGAGCTCTGCATGCTGGGATCTGCCCCGCTGCAGCCTGCTCCCTTCCCTGGCCCGCATGGGGCTGAGGGGCGTGGCTAACCCCTCCCCTCGTGACTGCCCCCTGCAGGCTCTGCTGAGCGAGTGCGTTGCTCCCCACATGGCCGAGCTGGGGCCCGTTTCTGCCTCCGGACCCGCCTCCCACGTCTGCAGGATGTTCAGGTGAGTGGGGCCCGCCTGGCTGTGGGGCTGGGCCTGCCTCGTGGCCCCTGTCCCGCCCCACCTCCGGGCTCTTGGGCCTGCCCTGCGGGGAGCCCCTGCGGGTGCAGGCGCTGTCTGTGCCCTGGCGGTGCTGAGCCGGTGCTCTCTCCCGGTGCAGGGCGGTGGAGGAGGGCTTGACGTACCGATTCCACGCGGCGTGGGCCTCCGTGCTGCAGGTGCTGCGGGCCTTCTTCGAGGTGTGCGGGAAGCAGTGCCATCCCTTCATGAGGAAGGTAAGGGGGCCGGGAGAGCCTGGGTGTGGGGTGCCCAGCACGGTGACTCGGAGAGGGGCCTGGGCTCGGGGCTCCGGGGCTGGGCCTTGCAAATGCTTCCCACGAAACAGAGGCTGCTGAGAGCCGGTCGGTGACGCTGGCTTCCCAGACGCTGGCATTTGGGTGGCGAGCGGGTGCTTAAAGCCCCGTCCTGGGCATCCCAAGGGCCGTTCTGGAGGGGGAGTCCAGCAGCGGCTTCCCAGACCCGGGCCGGCCGACGCTGCGTCAGCTGGCCCAGAGGGGGAGGAGTGTGTGCATGGCACCTTGCTGCCCGGAGCCCGTGTTGCTGTGGCTAAGGGGCTGCATGTCCCCATGGGCCGGCTCTGCCCTTCCCTCCTGGGCAGTAGGGGGTTCCAAGCGCTGTCCTGGGGCCAGAGATCTCTGGGTAGGCTTGCTCCTGCCTCCTCGGTCCACCCAGGCTGGTGCAGGCTGTGCTCCTCCTCAGAGGTGGCTGCATTGGCGCTCGGGGACGGGATCTGCTCTGAGAAGGTCTCGGACTGTGACCAGGCGTGTGAGTGGGGCGGGGGGACACACACCTGCCCTGGGCGTGGGCTGCTCCCCGGCCCAGGGGGCCTCTGGGAGGATTCCGTGTGACTAGCCCGTCTCTGCTTTGCAGTGTCTCCAGTCCCTGTGTGACCTGCGCCACTCCCCACACTTCCCCCACACCAGCGAGCTGGACCGGGCGGTGGGGGCTGCCGTGGCCAGCATGGGCCCCGAGGTGCTGCTGCAGGCTGTGGCCCTGGAGATAGACGGCACAGAGTGAGTACGACCCTGCCCGCGCGCGGCTGCGCCTCCCCCTCCTGCAGACAAACAGCTGGACCGGTCCAGGGGCCGGATCCTGACAGGGCTGTACCAGGAGCCCTACAGCTTTACGCATTGGCATGGAGTCACGGGGTCTGGTCTACGCCCCAGGCTGTCCCCAGTCTGCCGGGGGGTGACCCCTCTAGTGGGCCGGACCCAGGGCCTCTCACAGCGCTGCAGGGGCAGGACTCCTGACCAGGCCTCTGGCACCAGCAGTCCCTGTCTCTCCCCGAGGCTCCCTGCAGCGAATACAGCCAGGCCAGACGCGGGCTGGAGGCTTGTGCTGTAGCTTTGAGTGTTTCCGGGGAAACAGGCAGAGAACTGGCTATTAGTCCCCTGGCCACAGGGGCTGGAAGCCCGTCGCCTCGCCCAAGGGTGAAGGTAACAGCGCAGACCCTTCCTGGCAGCCCAGCTGCGCTCCAGTGAACCCCCACGGTCAGGCTCCTGAGCCAGTTCCCAGGTGTCCCGGAGCCCCAGGGTCAGTGCTGCGGCCCAGGAGGAAGAGTGAGACCCCGCGGGGGCCTGGCCCACGGAAAGAGTCCCTAGGACCATAAGAACGGCCACACTGGGTCAGACGAATGGTCCAACTTCCTACTATGCTGGGGGGGGGAGGGTTCAACCCCCGCTCTGCCCCAGGCCCCACCCCCACTTCACCCATTCCCCCTAGGCCCCAGCCCCTCCCTGCCTCTTCCCACCCCATTCCACCCCCCAGTGCCTCCTGCACACCTCGGAACAGCTGATCCCCAGTGGGCGGGAGGAGCTGGGGGGGGTGCTCCAGCCCTGGAGTAACCACGGAGTCAGTGCCTATGAAGTGAAGGAGTAAATAACACTTATTCACTTTCTCCACACCAGTCATGATTGTATAGAGCTCGATCATATCCCCCCTTAGTCGTCTCTTCGCCAAGCTAAACAGTCCCAGCCTTTTTAATCCCTCGTACGGAAGCTGTTCCATTCCCTTCATCGCTTTTGTTGCCTTTCTCTGCATCTTTCCCAGTTCTAATCAGGGTTCCCTCTAATTTTTCCCACCCATGTGCGGAATGAATTTTATGTGCACCAATGTGGAAGTGACCCGTGACACATCACCTCCATATTGGTGCACATCACAAAATTCATGTGGCAGGCGTGGGGCCAAGGGGTATGGAGTGTGGGAGGGTGGGGCCGGGGATGAGGGGCTCCGGCTGGGGCTGCGGGCTCTCGGGTGGGGCCAGGGATGAGGGACTCCAGGCTGGGGCAGAG